GAACCTGGGCCACCTTGCGGTTATGAGCCAGCCTGTTCAGCTCTGCCTGCAGAATGTGTTCTGGGGCTGTGTAGTACACATTGCCATCCAGGACGCACTTTCGCATGTGCTCAGCCTTGAACTCCTCAATGCTGCCCACAAACTCGTAGTCCTTCCGGATGCCTTGGAGCGACTGCATTCAATGTTGAAAGTTGAAAACACACAAGGTGACAACACTGCACTTCACACCGCGACAAAGGTCATGACTCGTGGAACTGTGAAACACAACAGCTGCAACAGCCTGGCCAAGTCAAACTGTCAAACTTCAAACTACAAAGGCAAACTGCAATCACAAAGCAACAGGTTTTGATGAAGCCAGGAAACCCCAAGTGTATCTGCGGCCTGGCCTGCGAATGGGATGGCCAAAGTCAGATGGTTCAAAGAGAGCTTCCTTCAAGTCATACAGATCATCGAGCCACCACTGAAGCAAATCAAAGGGGAAGGTCTTTGTGCACTCATGCACGAGAAGCACAGGACGAGCCTTCCTGACATGGCAGGCCCAAATCAGGAAGGCCAAGTGGCTGTCGTGATCTGTGCCGGCTCTTGCACCCTGCGGGCTCCACGCCACACAACTGGATCCAGCGACTTCTATCGTGATGGGGTCCGGAAAGGGGCAGCTGGCGCCTGCCTGGAAATCACTTGCCCTGCGCGCGCTTGGCCAAAGTTAAAGCCTAGCTCTGACCTCTCTCTCCAAGTCTCCAAAAACAAAATGGAAAAACCGCAAAAGCTCTCTTACTCTTGCAAATTGCAACACAGCGCCCGCCTACAACGGGCACTGTGGGCATAGCAATGCCCTGTGTCAATTGCCTCGTTGCAGTTCTTCATCAGCCAATTGCTCAACTGACCCAAGCCTTCTTCAACTCGGCCTTGCTCCTGGAACTTGCGAAACTTGTGGAATTCCGCCAAGGCTGACTCTGACAGCAGGTCATGCAAGTCGCCAAAAATGTGGCCCTTGCCAGCCCACCTCTCCGAGCTCCAGCCTCTGGCCACTTCAAGCGGGCCACTGCCGTTGTCGCAGGACCAAGCACAATGAAGCTTGGGGCCAAGCGGCTGCTTGCCGAACCAGGGCAGCAATTGGTTGGCTGCTGCCAGCAACTGGTCCAAGGCAATTTCAGGAGTCTTCATGCCAGAGTAGCTGGTTCCAATGCAAATGCCGCGAGACATGTTGGCCAGGAAGAGGTCTGATTCATGCGGCTTCTTCAGCACAATGTCCACGGCTCGGTCTGCCCAATTCAGAATGTCATGCAAGCTCTCTGGCCCATCCTCAACCTCATCACACTGGGGGACACACCCGCTCCAGATTTGCCCGTCTGTTTCTGAGTGATGTCCTGCTAGTGGGTCAGGCTCATCATCTTTTGCGCTCGGCTTCTTCTTTGCCCTACGTGTTTCCATTTCCATCGAAGCTGCAGGCCTCTTCAACCCCTTCTTGGGCGCCATTCTGATTCTTGCAGTTGTGAAGCACACGCAACAAGGAACTTCAAAGAACCAAATCACTGCCATGCAAGTGCATCATGCAAGCTCACACTGCACGCAACATGGCCATCAGCAGGCAACATGTCTCCAACCTGCAAGTGTCAGGCATGAGCAACATGCCAAAAACCATCGCAACTCAACTCAACAATCAACAAGTCACTGCGCATGTGTCAGATTGCACTGCTTTGCCCTGCAATGCGTTAGCCGTTAGCAAGCCTCATCACAAAGCGCATGCCGAACATGAAGCTCAGGCAGCTGTTTGATGGCCTACAGGATTTTTCTAGACTCTAGACGCTTCCCCCCGAATAAGGGCCTCTGACTCCAGTTGAGCTGCACTGTCCCTGAGGACCCCTGCACTGCGCAGGCCAGTCACAGGGACCAGGAGCACACTTCAATGCATGTGCATCAAGTTGCGCTTGAAACAGCTGATGGACCTGGAACTGTGTTGATAATAGGGCTGGCGCAGCCTACAAGTTACTACACAAGCTGCTCCTACTACAATCAGTGTGTTCCTAGCTCTACACTACACGCTCCAAGATGGATGCAGCTTGGTCTGGAATCTGGAGTACACCAACAACAATCTCACAATGTCAAAGCCTGTCACCTCCACACAGCACAGTCTGTGACAAGTGATAACCACTCTTAACATTCAAACAGTTGAAAGCAATCTGAATATGACCAAGCCAAGCTTGCAACTTCCTGCGACAGACTGTCTACTCAGTACACTTGCTCAGAGCCGGCCGGCTCAGCCTCAGCTTTCTTCATTTGCCTGCAGCTGCCCCTGACTGAGACTTAACCTTTGACTTTGCTGGAGCTGGCTTTGCTGGAGCTGGCTTTGGCTCATTTGGCTCTGCTGCTTCTGGCACTTCTGGCGACTTGGCAGACTTGGCAGCCTTGGCAGGCGCCTTCTCCGACTTCTCCTTGGCAAGCTGGTTTTTGGCTGCTTGGAGCAACTTCTGCATGGTTCCCTTTTGCTTCTTGCCGTCGCTGATCAAATTGATCAACTGCTCCAAGTTGCCGCTCACAACATCCTGGCTGGAAAGGGCTGCGTAGCGAAGCCCAACGCTGACCTGCTCTGTGAAGTCTCCAACAATCCACCCAGAAGGGATGTATACCAGTTGGCCTTGATCCTGGACAAGGCTGACAATCTGTGGCGTGTTGGCAACTCCGTTGAGGGCTGTGATACGCTGCTCTGACGAAACCATGTGTATAGTTGCTCCTCGGTCTGCACATCCTTGCCGACCTTGTGCGCTGCCTGAACCAGCCACCCGCACGGTGCTGCGAACACCTTCCTTGACCCTTCCAGCAGGTACCTCACTTTGCCCATGCCGTTCCACTCAGAGCTAACAAACGACATTCCCTGAACACAGCCGAACAAGGAGAGCTCTGCAGCAACCTCATCAAAGTTGCTCAGGTCTGGCGTCACCCATGGCGAAAGCTTCCTCATGAAGGTTTCCACCTCCGCTTTCAGCGCAGCTGGGCGGAAACTGCACTGAGCACGGCCAGTGCTTTTGGCTGCCAAGGTTGTTGGGAATTGGGCTTTGAAGGCTCCCACATGCTCAGTGAACACACCTCCTGTCATGCAGGGAACTGGCGGCGCAGACACCAGGCAAGGATGCATGCCATCAGGCGCATTGGTAGTCAAGGCCAAGGCATCTGCGTACAGGCTAGCCTTGCAAAACAAGTGCCCAGGGAGCTTGTCAATGCGGTGGCTCTGTGTCTGGTCAGTGATGCGGCGCCTCGCGGTCTCCTCCTCGTTCTGGCGCTGCCGCTTCCTCTCCTCTTTCACAGCAGCTTGTTCAGCCTTGCGTTTGGCAGCCTGCTGCTGCCTTTCCACCTCCTTCTCCCGGCTTCGCTTTGCAGCAAGCAAATCATTCACAGCCCCCTTTACTGCTTTAGCTTGGGTGACCACAAGATTCAAAGCTGCTGTGATCTTGACATGGGCTTGGTCAATCTCATCAACATCATTCTGCTTCAAATGTTGCAATCATGCTGGGGGACCTGGCCAACGTCCAAAATCCAAACTGTCCCAAAAAATTTGGATTTGGTTTGTCCTCTTGAACAACACAAGCTCACGTTTTGTCTCTTTGATATCCACTACAATGGTCAATCAATACGTGATTCAATAGCATCGCCAGACACTTGCTGTTGCATTTGAGCCTGCATTTTGAAAAGCAACATCGCTAATTGATTATGACTTCAGTTTGCTTCTGACACAAATCACTGCTAAATACTAAGTAACAAGTGAACATTATGAGTTTGAGCAATCCCAGTAGGTGGCAATGACGTCGCTTTGAAGCATCGCTTATTTCTTCCTTGTTTCCCAAGGGTCAAGGATTGCTCCAAGCAATCCTCTAAGGCCCTTGGAGGTTATTGATGCTGCCCATGAACTCCAACTTGAACTTGGCCAGGTCAATGAAGCGCTTGAACTCATCAGTGTTGTCCTTGGAGCTGCAAAAGTCCGAGACCTGCTTATGCAAGCTGTCGCACTTGAGGTCCAAGCTCTTGTAAGTCTTCATGACTGCGTCGTACTTTTTCGTTCTGTATCGACTGATGTCTTTGATATTCTTTTTCTTGTTCTCTGGCAGCCCTGGCAAGTCCTGCTTTTCTGGCGTGAACAAAGAATCCAGCCCTGCACTTGCTTCGCACATAGGAGTGCTTGGCGCTGCCGCTGCCTGGTCGCCATGCATGAAACCGTTGCTGGTTGCCCCGGATTTGTTGCCGATGGCAAAATGCGAATCAGTCCATCTGGGCAAAGAAGTGCAAACTGTGGAGTCAGCCTTCTCCATGTCCTCCTGCTTGGGGTTTGTCATTTGCTTGTGGGCTGCAACGCGAGCTTTGGAATACCCGCTCACGTCTTCTCGGAGGATGTAGTCTTTCACTGGGCGTTCAATTCTGAGTTTTGAGCACTCCGGACCCATCTGGTCCTTTTCGCGTTCGCTGTCGTTGGAGAACTCGGTCCACATCCTGTCGCTCTCTTCCCAGGACCGCTTGTGCTTTGCCTGTGAGACATCCATCCACTGCTCGTAGCACATCCTTGCCAATATCAAGCCCACATGCTGCATGCTTCAACAACCACTTCAGCCTGTCCAGCAGTGCAGCAGGAATCTTGCTAACATGATCCAAAACAAGGGAGGCAACTGATGCAAATTTCAAATTGCGGCAACATGCGGCAACATGCGGCAACATGCGGCAACATGCGGCAACACGCGGCAACATGCGGCAACATGCGGCAACATGGGCAACATGCCCAACATGCGGCAACATGCGGCAACAACATGCGGCAACATGCGGCAACATGCGGCAGCCAACAGCATCAATCAAGCAGCGCTGGGGTGTCAGGTATCTTTAAAGCCTCTTGAGTCAGCATGGGGCAACATGTTCAACATGCCGCACGCAGTCGACACATGAACCAGGCAACATGCTCAAAAGTGACAGCATGAGGCAAAGCGGCAATGCGAACCAACAGTGACACATTTGGGCGTGGCTCAACTGGCAACATGGGGTAACATGATGCAGCCGCAGCATGAGGCAGCATCATTCAGCATGAGAGCATCCCGGTGACCCGTGACCCTGGTGACGGTGAGAGCGAAAACCTGTGACATGTGGCCAAGTCTCATCTGGTCCTTGGAGCCGCGCCTGACCTCCCTGGATCTGTAGCATGTCTCCTGGTACTGAACCCAGTTGAAGCGCTCCCGACCTGCGCCCTTCCCCCTGCTCTGGCACCTACCCATGAACTCAATCAGCATCTTGGAGTACAGCGTCTGGGACGAGCATTGGGACAAGTAGAACTGCAGGGCGTTTTTGCCGCTCTTCTCTGCGTCGCGCTTCAACGCCTCTGCCTCCTTCTTGTGGGCACTGCAGAACTTGCTCTTGGCATATGTCTTCTTGTCGCATGTAGGTGACAACCAGCAAATGCCTGTCTTCAAAGGCTGCTCACTGAGAGGGTCAGTCACATGCCTTTGCGGCGGCCCCGGCGCCGGCGCTGGTGGCCATCGGCGCCAAAGCAGGCAGCGCCTGAGCAGCCTGGTCAACCTGGGACACCCCCTGCATCGCATCCTCGTCAAAGTCGAGAACCAAGGAAGCTTCCATAGATTCCATACTGGCGGCTGGGCGTGCAACAGGTCGGTCAAACAATATTACTGCCAGCCTGAAAAGCTTCACAATGATCAAGCCGCTGTCGCTAACTAGGACACAAGGTCACAGCCACAACAAACTCGACATTTCAATGTCAACATGCACATCAAACTTGCTGATGCACATCAAGCCCAACATGCTGAAGCTAGCAACTCAACAACCACTGGCATCAAGCGCTTGATTCAGCATGGCACAGCAGTCCAACATGTCCAACATGGCACAGCAAATTCAACCAAGCATTGCCAGCATGGCAATGAACACCTTTTTTCACTTTCCAGATGCCAGAAGCCCCCGGCCAGTCTTGTCTTCTTCTTTGGCTTTTTGCCTGCCAGCGCAAAATGTGGCATACTGGGCGAGACATGGCAAGAATCTGCTGCCCCATGCCTGAAAACTCCCACAACTGCAAATTCTGTAGTGTTCTGGAAAAATGGAAAACATTGCCAGGGCCACGAATTTTGAAATTCGTGGAGCTTCGTGGACCTTCGTGGACCTTCGTGGACCTTCGTGGACCTTCGTGCACCTTCGTGCACCTTCGTGTTCGTGGACCTTCGTGGAACCTTCGTGGACCTTCGTGGCCTCCAGGGGGGTGTCATCTTCGCCCTTTACATAACCTTCGAGGACCTTCGTGGACCTTCGTGGAACCTTTGTGGGGCTGTGTGGCACCTTCGTGGGCCTTTCCGGAATTTTCGTGGGTGTAGTGCTGACTATCGCGGGCCTCCCTGCTGGCTTTCCATCACAGGCAGAATCAACAAATGGAAGCACAAACGCAAAAATAGTGGACCTGAAGTGTTTTTCAGTTTTTGCCAGATTGTGGTGAAATCCAAAGGTCACCCTAAACCCTAAGTGCAGAGACCGCCTTTTTCACGCTGGGACCATGTGACTGGCTTGCCTTTGGCTGGCCTGTCTTGGGCGGCTGGCCATTCCATCAATTCCTGCTCAGTTGGCAGCTGTGGCAGCCTTGCGGGGGCTGTCCAGCACTTGCCAGTTCAAAGTCCGCTCAGCGGCTCATCCGGCTCATCCCACTCACAAGGCTCCAGGCATCCAGGGACTCCAGAGCGTCCTCAATGACCTCACACTCACTCTTGCTCACCTCAGTCTCAGAGGCCTCGGAGGCCTTGGTCCATCTGCCCCAATGCCCCTGGTCTGATCATCTTCATCGTCATCTTCTGCGGCGTCCTTGGAGTCCTTGGAAGCCATGGAAGCCTTGGGGCACTCAGTGGAGGCGGCGGCGGCGGCGGCACCGGCGGCGGCACCGGCCGCCACTACCATTGCCACTGTGCCCTTGAGGACTGGCAGTGGCAGGACTGGACTCGGCCTCTTTGGCATCTTCTTGACCTTTGGCGTCATCGGTGTCATCGGCGCCTGCTTCACTGTCATTGCCGCAATTGCCGCCATTGCCGCCAATGTCTTGGCCTTGGCTGCTGCCTTGGCCATCGCCTTCTGCTCCTTCTGCTTCTCCCTCTGCTTCCTGTTCTTGTTTGTGTTCTTTGCCTTCGGCGGCGGTGGCGCCGGCGGTCCGAGTCTTGGTCTCGAAGGCGCAGGCGCAGGCGAAGCAGCGATTGGTCTCTGCGGCGACGGCGATGGCGATGGCGGCGACGGCGGCGATGGTGTTCTCGCTCTCGGCCTCTTCGCAGGCTGCAATCTTATCGGGACTGGGGGCGGCTTGCATGGCAAAGGCGGTGGCGGGAATGGTGGAGGTGGAAACGCTGGCGGAGGCGGGGGAGCTGGGATTGTGAACTGGTAGTTCACAGTGAGGAAGCTCACCTGGACCTGCGCCTGGCGGGCCGAACTTGTGATCTCCGGCCGGGCGTTCTCATTCTCATTCTTCTTCTTGTTGTCAGCCCGGGCCCTGAGCAAGGGTGGCAAAAAAGGAGCTCAGTAGGCTTTATTACCGGCTCAACACTTGACTTCCTCTTGGCTTGCTCTCAAAGCTAAACCTGAAGCTGAACAAAAACACAACTTGCCAAATTTTGCCACGCAGCCTCTTCCAAGGCGGGGACTGCTGGAAAGAACTCATGGCTGTGCTCAGGCAAGGTCGAAGGTTGGTAAAGTCATGTAGCCGCACATGCGTGATGCACGATGCACATTGGCTGCACAAGTTATTGCTTGCTGGCTATGATGTACATGTTGCGCGCGCTGTGACAGCATGACTCACACAGCATGAATGCCACCCCATGACCGCCAAAGCAGCCAGTCCCATGCCTGGCTTGAGCTTCTATGCGAAAGGCACACACAAGGAACATGCCATGAGGTCACAATCGGAAACATGCCAACAACAATTGGTTGGTGCGAGGGTTCAAACTGCAACCTCAACACGCCACACTTGCGCGAAAACCAACTCCAAGACAGCTTGAAAGTCATCACCTGCTGAGAGCAACAAACTAAGCATGTCCTCTGCCCTTAACACTATCTTTGTAGAACCTTAATTTTACTCTTCCTTCATTCCTTGCCACACCCATCCCAGCCCGATCGATCTGAGCAACACACGCCTGGCCTTCTGCTCGTGGTCACTGCCCGCTGCCCTTTGTCTTTGTTGGAAGACGATCAAGAACTGGAAGATGAAGACGAGGAATCTGAATCTGAGGAGCCTGAGCCAGAGCCAGAGCCAGAATCAGAGTCTGAATCAGAATCAGACGAAGCTTCCTTCTTCGGCTCAGCAGCGATCACTGTTGTTGATGCCTTTGCCGCAGCCTTTGCCTTCTTTTTAGGTCTATTCGCTTGCCTTGGCTTCTTCCCTTTGTCGTCAGTTAGAGCTCTTTCTGCTGGCGGCATTTGCGCGTCCAGCTCCTGGTCTGAAGGCAAAGCGCTCAGCGGCGCCTTCTGAACCTGCTTCTTGATCTCTTGGTGAGCAGAATGGCTTCGACAGAACTCCTCAAGGCCTCTAATGCTCCACCACTTCATGCGCTGCACAGCCTCATGGCGCTGCTCCTCAGTTTTGTAGTTGCTTGAGTATGTGCAGAGCATTCGTTTTCCACTCGTCTGGTGATGACGGATGTGACTGCGACGAGGGCAATCAACTTGCAGCCCTCCACGTTTGTGATGCTTGAAGCTCACACACCCCCATGTAAAGGACTGTTCCAGCCTGAATTTCCCCCACCCTGGGCCAAGGGCGCCTGCCAGAACCTGTAGAGCTTCCTCCTTTTGGCTGCTGCTTGCAGCGCCCATGTCATGCTCGAAATCGAACGCCTGAAGCTTCGCAGGCTTTCTGGACAAGAGCAACTTGTAATAAGCCTCAGGCTGGCAATGCTTGAACATCTTGACTTCATGCTGCCGCAAAAATGCCCTGAAATCTCTTTCGGTTGTGAGCTCCCAGCAGCAAAGAATGTACTGCTTGCCAATGCTCGCTGCCCCCTGCACCAGGTAAATCTTGCGGCTGGTCTGAGGGATCTCGCCAGCAGGTATTGGAAGCGCTTCCAACCTTTTGGCGTCTGCCTTTGGAGCAACCTCCAGAGTCCACCCTGCTTTGAACAGCTGGGTGAGAAGGGTGTAGACACAGCGTTCCGCAGCAGGACTGTCCTGGTCTGAAAGGAGGACAAAAGCTGGGTTCTTCAATGCCCTCGCAAACTTCATATTCTGGACCGCCCAGGAAGTCAATTGAAATCCTGACCTCGGGTTGGCATGCAACTCCAGTCTCAGCATCCCGTGGAACATGCCCTCGACATGGTCAGCATGCCCTGCCTGCAACATGGAACATGGCAACATGGGTTAACATGGGCAACATAAGCCGCTAAGCCAACATTGCCAACATTGGCAACATGGGCAACATGGGCAACATGGGCAACATGGGCAACATGGGCAACATGGGCAACATGGGCAACATGGGCAACGGTGCAACATGGGCCAACATGCCAAACTCAAGTCTTCAGGTGGGCTCAACTTGGAACACTGCAACATGGAGCAACACACCACAACATGACACATCAAGTTCGAAGCACAGCGGATGCAACAAGACCTGCACATTATGCGCCATCATGACATGTGCCAGCAAAACAAATCAAAGCAACAAGTGCAACATGCCCCAGCAAATGTAACGTGGACCAGCATGATACATCGAGACGGCCGACCAACATGAGGCAACAAGACATCCAACATGGGCCAGCAAGGCATGTTTGCAACAAGTTGGGCAACAAGGGCCAAGGGCAGTCATGACCTCTGCTTGCCTAAGGAACTTGAACCTGCAGCCAAATCACATAGCAGGCAACCATGCAAAACACTTCGGGTTGTCCTTCAGCAAGTCCATCTCTTCCTTGTCCAAAAGATCCGTGTGAAGAAC